CCAGAAATGTGAGTAGGAATGTAAATATATATCACAAGACAGTTAAATCACAATACAAATATGTAAAGATTCAAATAGGTGAGGTGAAAAATTAATTGCGATACTCTTTTTAAACAGCAGAGGGCACTATCTACTTTTGACTTTACTTATTTCTACATCCTATGTCACTCACATTAATTGCTGTGTCTAGGCCCAATAATAAAAAGGCACACATCAGTTTCACTTTTACCAAGAAAAGGAAATGTGCATAGTTTTGGACAATTTATACCCTACCTCAGAAAAAAAAAAAAAGGATACTATAATTTTATAAAGAAAATATAAGAAAAAACATTTTTGATTTGAGAAATAAAAAGGATATTTTTCATTCATAATTTTTCGTCAATCTCACTTTTTTTTTTACAAAAATGTGAGAAAATTGTGTCATCAACCTAGTATTTTGTTTTAAAAAAATGTTTTGTATTAAATTGAAAAAAATCATACCTAGTGATTAACATTATCCTCAATTCACAATTACAGATTTTCCGATAGCAGAGGCAACTTACTTGACAGATGTACATTTGAGTCGTGCTCTGTCACTGTCCCTTTGCCGCTTATTCTGAGCTGAGAGGAGGTTTTCTTTCTGGATAGCTTCCCATGTGTTGAGGCGGCTGGCCTTTCTCCCCCGCAGCTCCAGAACTGAGGACAGAGAAGATCAGTAGAGGGACTGGTGGGAGGGCAAGAGTAGCACACATGGATGCGCATGTATGCGGATATCTGTAGAGATCCAGAACAGGAACACAGACACACAGAAGTCTGTGCAGCATTATGGTCAGACCACTTTAACTGGATCCCTTCAACATGCTTCTGTTCTGAGCTCCTCCTAATTGTCTGAGCTCCTAACCCTTTCATTTAAGGACCAGTGTGTAGGATTTAGAGGCATCTAGCGGTGAAGTTGAAGATTACAACTAACTAAATAACTGATCAGGCAATGAGTCCCACACAAAAACAGGCTGCTGTTCCTAAGCATATACCAATACTATAACCAATACCAATACCTTTAAAATCTGGTTGTCTTTTCAACGTAGACGAGCCTAGCACATAGCATGTCAAAGTACAGGAAAGGAGGAAGTTGACTGAGGCTTGCTCAACTGTTATTGGAGCACAGAGAAAAGGGGGCTGGACCTAAGAAGGGTCAATTAGCTCCTAACCTGGATGAAGCAATCCATTGTTTCTCAAACTTGGAGGTACTGACCCTCAAACCAACTCCAGTCTGCAGTATAGCTCATACACCTTGCACAAAACCACTGAATTAGACAGTATTACATCCAATAATGGTCAGGTTCACCCCTTTGGGTCTTTCTGCCCTTGCATGCTTTCTTTTCCTCCCTTTCTCTCTCCCTCACCTTTTTCAGTTCTTTGCGGTTAAATGACCCTAGAACCAAACAGATAGTTTTGATGGGGGCTGTACGTGTGTAGTCCCATTCAGCTGGGTTTGACCTGCATCACTGTGTAGTAAAAGCCAGTAGGACAATCCTCAAACACAGAACTAACAGAATTGCTGACTAAATGAAACCTTGGCAGAGCCCCACATCAACTGACAATCAACTTGACTCGCTACCAAGAATGCAGAGACAGCTCTCTTGGCTATAAATGGACCAGATGACTTTGGAGCAACTGTCCTGGCACCCCAAGATACAGCTGTAGGTTGTTTTCAAATTAACCAAACACATATAGACTGGTTGGTCAAACTCCATTACTTACCCAGAACCAGTACAAGAGCTAATTCATTATTTGACAACCAGGGGCCACAATGCCTATTTTTTATCACCTTGCCCATACTTGTGTCTTTTATTTACTGCTCCCTGCTAAATGCTCATCTTCCTTCTATATCATATTTTCTGTCTGCATGCTCTACTTGCAATTTCTCACCAAAGTGTTTGCTCTTGACTGAGGGGATGCTGCGGATGTATCTCTTGATGAAAAGGTGGAGGTGTGAGATGATGATGAAGGGTGGTGCCAGACAGGGCCTCGAGTGGTACTCCACAATCAGGTTGTAACGCTGAAACTTCCAGTAGGTGTCACTGCGTTCCTGTACCTTTGAGAAGGTATAGCTGCAGACAGTAAATTGAATATCTCATTATGCCTGTAGAGAGCTAAAATGCTTGAACAATGGGTTTCCATGATGTACGACATTCTCTCTGTTTGAAATCTGTTTAATTGGTAGAACAGCATTGGAACTGAAACAATTAATTCTCAATGCCAGTGTGTACCTGAACATAGCAATGAGAAGGTTGACCAGAACTATGTTGGTAAACAGTAGGTAGATGACAAGGAGAATGACAACCAGCCAGTTGGCAAAGGTGTTCATACAGGGCTCATCTCCTGCTTCAATTCGTGTTGCGTCGTTTGTACAGTTGATGTCCCCCAGTTTATCAGCTAGATGGAAGATCAATGAAGCAACATGTGAGAATCTATGCAGCACATTTACAAGCACATCAAGGAGTAACAGGTATATGTATATGCAGGGAGGCTGTGGCTCAGAGGTAGAGCGGGTCATCCACTAATCGGAAGGTTGATGGTTCGATCCCCAGCTCCTTACTACCCCCTTACTGTACCAAAATGTACCGAACCGAAAACCTTGATATGAACCAAACTGTGAATTTTGAGAACCGTTCCACCCCTAGTCATAATACGTTATAAAAACCCAGGCACACAAGGTAGGATTTATTGCAATGGTTTGGATTGTAATCAACTGCTGTTTATTTTACGAAATATACTTATATATGGCAACTGAATAAGTGAGTACAATTATGATTTAAATCAATCCACTTTGACTGTATGTGTATGTATATGTATGTGTACTGCTTAGATTTATATGCACATTATAAGTGAATGGAGGCAAATTTTAGACAATAATTATACATCATTTTATTTTTGTGCTATTTTATGCACCACTGAGATTAATTAAATAATTTATTAATTAACTTAACTTTGCTATGTTTGAATTAGATGAAAGAAACTTTAGTCAATGAGGGAACCAAAGGACTGAGACTGAAAAAGAACAGAGACTGAGCCACTCACCATCCATTTCATTTATGGGAATTTGACCAAAAATATGCAGGTACGGTCTGTAGAACACTCGGCGTAATATCCAATTAGGGCGGGGATCATATGAGTAGAGGAGCGCCTGATTAGCCACTCCATAGGCCATGAGCCACACAGCCAGAAAAAAAAGGAAGAAGAAAACATCCTTCATCTGGAGGAAGCAAAGAGAGACCAGAGATGGATGATACAGGATCTGCCCTGGTGTGATGTCCTAATTATATCTGTTGTTTCTAGTCCAAACATTACATGATCAACTTTAATTACATGTAATCATATTAAACATGTCTGTTATGTCAAGATTATTGCACTAAGGACAACATTAGGCCTTGACCTAAATTCAAGTGTGCATGCATCTGGTTAAACTGTCTATTTTTGTTATTTTTAATAATAATAATATATCCTTAATGCACTAAATGCACTTAAGGATTTATTTTGACCAAACCAAAGTTGGTGATTATTAAGACAGTGGAAAGACCAACAGAGATGGTTTTGGTGAGTTTTATTGTGTGTTCTACGATTATCTGCTAGGTAAAATGACGTGCCCATTGTTCTGGTCTGAGATGCTGGTGCTCTATTGCGAGTAGTATTGGCTTGCAAAGAGCACTTTAACCAGACAGGCAAGATTAATTTCGGCTTACCATCAAGTTACTCACAGAATTAATGTTAATTAGCAGCAGATTTTATGACCTGCTTTTTGTTGCCCATAGTAGGTTTTTTTTATGAGATTTGTGGAAAGTAAAAAAGCCTTGTTTCTGGGAAAAAAGTCTTATATTTGTCTAAAAAGAAAAGTAACATTGTCAAGCAGGTTTTGCATTACAAAAGTAATCTGTTTTTTCATAGTTTCAATAAAAAATTAAATGTTACAAATAAGAATGTTTCTGGTGCCTTTATTTACAAAGTCACTTTTTGAATTTTTTGCAAATTATTAATAAAGTGACAAAAATACTTATTTTAATAAAGTATATCTTAAATAACTGAGCTACAGTCTTTCAGTGGCTAGATTCCATGCTAGATTTTTATTAAGAATTCTAGCCAAGCAAAACTGGCTTTCCATTGGCAATTTTTGTTGCTTAATACAAGAAATTATAATTTAAGAATATTTGATTTGTTTCAAGAAGGGCTGTTTTTGCAGTGTGTGCACTCACCATTTTGCCAACAATGATGATCTTGGGCCCAAGCTGTTTGTGAATGGCAAAGATATGGATCAGACGTAGAGTGAACACCATATAATCTATGGCCATCACTGCTCGGCCAAACTGATATGACCAGGGAAACATTCTGGAAAACAGAACAGTGCAGTCAGTCACCGGTCATATGTCATGCAATATATTCATCTACACCATGAAACATATAAAGTAAAATATCCCAAATGATGGAAGAATCTTGACTAGCTTCTAAGCCTGTTAGTACAAATACATGATGCCTTAGTACTCTGTTGCCTCCTGTCAGTTTGTCAGATGACTCACCTGCAGCACAGAGCCAAAGTGAAGAGAGCGATGGCTGTGAGGTCACACTTGTTCCACACATCCTGAATGTAGTTCCTCATTCTCTGGATCACAAAATTACCGCCCACAAAGAAGGTCTGTCAGCCAGAGGGAGAAGAGTCAAGACACTGTATGTGGAAGGATGTGTGCAATGTACAGTGTGTCTGTGTCAGTGATAAAAATGTGTATTTTGGGTGATGTGCTGTCCAATTAGCATTCAGACTGAAAATAGGGCTGCAGTAAAAGTGCTGCTGTGTTGCCTCAGGTACAGGAGATTAACAGATCCATGAGATTGAAGCTCAGCAGACACCAAAACCCTGCAGAGCTGTATCTAAATATGAAGATGGATTTTAAAACTCTGGATTCATTTTATCCTGTCTCGAGTTTTGCGAGGTAAACAGTAGAACTACAGTTTTCAGGTGGCAAATTAATCTACCAGCAATGCATGCTTACATATATGTCATGGTTTTGGGTCTAGTTTTGTTATTTTCAGGGTTTTTTTCTAATACTCACTCCTCTCATATACTTCTCTCAGTTACTTCCATTATTGTCTGTTTTACTGCCAGTTTTAGTTTTAGTTTCGCCTTAATTAGTTTTACTTGTATCTAGTTAGCACCAATACAGGAAATGCATTCCTGAATTTGTCACTTGCATTGTTTTAAATGGAAGTTAATGGGATAGATAGCACATTTTCACAAAGACTGGTGCTAATGAGACCATACCTTTGCCCCTAAGTTAAGTTAATCTTTGTAAGTTACAACCTCTGAAGGTGGTGACCTTCAAAGGACATGGCTTGGTCAGATTGTCTGAATTGCCAAAGCATTACACAGAGAACGTCTTGAAAACCTACTATATAGTTATATGTCGGTGTCAAATATTACTAACATAGATTGTGTTGCTTAATAAATGGTGATGTGTGTGCTGGTAGTGTCTTAAGAACCAACCTGCCGAATCTCTTCACATACTAAGGTGAACACCCAAAAGTAAAGCACAAACTCCAGAGTGGAGGGGCCGTGAGGGGGCGGGGGCTTGAAGTCCACCAATAGAACATAGGCAAATAGGCAGAGGAAGAGGAAGTACATCAGCACGTTTCCAAGGAAGGAGGTGACAGGGGCAAACCAGAACTGTCTCCAACGGGACACAATAAATGGTCTCTTGGAGCTGGATGGCAAGGAGTCTGAAGTAAGAGAGGAAAAACAGGAAAAGACGTCAACAACCAGTCATACAAAATATATGTCTATATACAGTATACTCATTGATCACTTTTTTAGGTACATACCGTCAACTTAACAAAGAAAACACATACATTCACTTCCATCCAAAAGGGAACAGTGGTGCAGACCACTGATAGAATATAGTTAGTGGACAGAATCAAGATTTTGCGCTTTATTGACTATTTCTATGACAATTTTTAGTGTACTGTTTATCTAGGATACAAGAACGTGTGTGATCAGGCGAGCCACCATTTATTCTGCTACAGACAAGTTGAAACTGTGCAGTCAATGAGAGCAGCTCAACTCACAGTTTATCA